CCCCCCCCCCCCCCCCCCCGCCTGCCAACACACAATGTGCATTGCCGAATCCGCAAATGAACAAATGTTTTGATGAGGGTTTCTTTTCTACTGCACGTTGCACTTTCGCCCGGGTTCCATGGCAGGGAGCTTAGCATAGCTGAAGTCTCGCGCGATCGTTTGGAGTGGGGCCGAGACCCTGAACGCCTCCGTTGTGACAATCGCCCTCACCGAAATCGCTGCAAGAAAAAAATGTTAAGCACGAGATCCAATTAAGGTACGCTTTGTTGAGGTATCATCACCAAACATCATCACATATCACCTGATTCTAGGCAATACGGCAGCGCAAGGGCCCAGATGTTTCATGTTCAGTTCAGTCTCTACGCCCGGCGTGGCCAGTGTCCCCACATCTGTTTTTGGGGGGGTGGGACTTGAAAACACGGACTTGGGGCAGAGTCGCTGTAGCGTACAAGAAGCCTGAAGGCCAGGAAAACTCTCTTGGATGAGGGGAATGTAGAATGGCTGAGTGGCTCCGGTTCATGCGTGAGTGCAACTTGCAGATTCTTGCCACCGCTGCCGCCCGCCCGCAAACAAAAACGCCACACTGACCGAAAACGGCTGAAGCAACAACACCAAAATGTTGGCGTTGAGGCAATTTTAACCCTGCACACGCAGCATCAGCAAGAATGGGCAGTGCAATCCATCTACGTTGAGTAGTTTGAGCCAGCCGGAATGTGGTATTCCAGCGCGTGGCACTTTGAAAGCATGGAGGCACAAAGGATCAGGATCTAGCTTCGTAACACTTCCTTGACAAAGCTTTGCCAAGCGTAATGCACCCACCTTCATGGCGCAGTATCGCACAGTATGGTACTGCCAGCCAGGGCATCACAGCAAAGATCGCTGCGCAGCTCATGCTTCAGGGTGGCAGCTTTGGCCGCTGTCGCATCAGCATCTATCGAATTGCAAGGAGCTCACGCCATGTTCAAGGAGCTGTCTTCAAATGAGCTGCTGGCCTCACAAACTTCTCTCCACACGTCGAAGCTGGCTCACAAGTGGTTCTGCGGAGCACGACCCCCCAACGCTGACAGCACGAACACGGAAGGCTGCTGCAAGTACTTACTCATCTCCAACTCACGTGCAAGACATGACGAAAATGGACAACAGGCTGGTGAGTTTCGCAGAAACCCTTGACAAGCCCGCCACGTTGCTTGAGCAATCGTCTTTCTGCACCTCGTGACCAGACAGCAACTGAGCAAACCAGATCAAATTTCTGCGGCCTGTGCTGGCACAGCACTTTGTACGGTCAATCCTGGCAACCTCACTTTGCCCTCGAACTCTACTGCTGCCCTCGCAAGTAGACAATCTTCCTGGCGTTTGTCAGTAAACTACCGAAACATGAAGGGATTCTGTCGGCTCACCAGTTGTTTGGAGCACCGTCAGGGCCTACTTTGGTTGAGCACCAGCTTCTGGAAGTCCTCGCGGGATGCTGTTACAAGTAGCCCAGGTCAAGGACAACAATAACCATAACACTAGTACCAACTGTCTTTTTGCTTCGAGCATCCCAACGACAATGTTGGGCCCAGAATGCATTTCTTACTTCAGCTTTGCGAACAGACTCAAGAAATGCAGGCCTCCTGTAGGAACACTCTTCAGCGCGCTCCAAACAGATTCTGTTGGGCCCAACTGTTGGGCTCTTTGGGGAGACTGGGGTTGAGAACTGTGGGGATGCAGTCCGGGCATTCCAGGAAGATAGGTGGCAAGGATAGCATGTCTGCCTTGAATTTGCCCACCCCACTGGGAGGGTGGGGAAGATGAATGCGAAGCACATTGCGTACTACCAATCGCAACAAGAGAGCTTGCGGTTCTGTGAAGGATCGCGTCCGTGTCGTCAAAGCTGAGAATGATGGCCTCACTCACGCTCGCGCGATTTCATAGCCCGGGCAACTCTGAGCGGTTCTTGCTATTCCTAAAGTTGCCACTCCTGTGTTGTTATGCTTGTCGCGATGGTGGCAGCGGTGGCGGTGGCTGTGGCGGTGACGGTGGTGTTGGTGGCGGCATTGGAGGCACTGCTGCTTTTGTCTGCTCTTAGGTTTTCTTCTTTTCTCGCTGGTGTTGCTATGGCTACCGGTTCAACACCAGGACACATTGCACTCCGCACGGCATTTACGGCTGGAAATGCAGCTGCAGGTCAAAACCTCTGCAAGGATGACCACCACCACTACTGCTGCTGCTGCAACTACTATTACCCCTACTGCTGCTACCAAAGACAAAAGTCGCTTGCCCAGGAAGAGCTTCAAAATGGGAAACTTCTCGCAGCTTCCCATGCGTAGATGCGAGGCTGTAATTATCGTTCCAAAGGAATGTGTGTTGTGCTTTCGGCTTCTTCTCACAAGGGCTAGCGTTGTCGGATTTGGAAGCGACTGTGTTTCAACCCAATGTCATTTCGGTGGCTCTGACAAAGAAGCACTTCCGAACAGAAAGCTCTGCTGAACATGAAATCTAATATACACCCAAAAAACTTACGGTTTGTTCTTGCGCGGAGGACTCTTGGGTGCCCCGAAAATTTTGAGTTTTCACTTCTCGACACGACAGGAGCTTCATCGCCCACCAGTGTTGTCGTGATGGGCGCCAGCAAACCTTTGGGTCCTGGGTGTAAACACACTCGCCGTCGTAATACTAGTAGCAGCAGTGGCAGTAGCATTTGCAGCAGCAGCAGCAGCAGCAGCCGCCCGAGTAGTATCATGAGCAGCAGCAGCAGCAGCAGCAGCAGCAGCAGCAGCTACTAGCAAAAAAGTAGTAGTAATAGTAATAGTAATAGTAATAGTAGTAGTAGTAGTAGTAGTAATAGTAATAGTAATAGTAATAGTAATAGTAATTGTAGTAGTAGTAGTGGTCGTCGTAGTAGTAGTAGTAGTAGTAGGAACACCGTCCACTTCTGGCTGCGGTAGAAGTGAACTCTATGCTTCTATAGTTTTCGCGCTTAAAAACCTGCATTTGAGTAACACCTGATCGGCCTGGCGCGCTAGGAAAAGCTCTTCATGAAGCGTCGAATTTGGATTCCGGATTTTTTCACGTTCGCACGCGAGCGGAACAACAGTTTCGCAACATTTTGTCGCGGTTTTCCTTCAAATTTGAGAAAACGGTCTTCCCCGTTTGTGATGTTTCGAGTTCATCGCATCTACCCTTTCGGATGCTCAGCACCCCAGCTTCGGCATGTTCGAGGACTTTTCCGATGCCTTCACCTTCGTTTTGCGGGGGAAGTAGCAACAAGATTATTTTTGCGGCGTGTTTCACCCGAGCGCTTTCCGGCTTTTGATTTCGTACTCCATGCCATCGCGTGCTCAAAAAAAAGTTTCGGCACGTTTGAAGTGCTTTGCCATACCTCCGCCATGGTTTTGCGGGTAGCAAGTACCGCGCTTTGGTTGTTTTTGGGGGAGGGGGAGATAGTTACGTGCAAGCCACACACAGTGTTTTCTCTATGCGGCAATTGCAATCATTCAAAAAGATATTTCGAGGTTTTCGCATGACACCTTTAGAGGCCTGAGGATCCTTGAAAAAGCAATGGCTTCTCTTTTTTCCGGCCGGTTTTCTTCCAGCTTCCCCTGTCGCACGCTCAAAAAAAACTTTTTCGCCACGTTCCAGGACTTCTTCCATGCCTCCGCCTTCGTTTGAACAATCTGAGGTAAAGTGCAATTCCAAAGACCCCTTATTAGAAAAAGCAAAGTGAACATATAAAACTCCGATGACCCCTTCCACAAAAAATCCGAAGTCGAAAAATGGAAAGCCATGAACCCCTTACGCCCTACAAGCTTAATGAAACGTACTGAACGTACGCAAATTTTCTTACCGGATTCTTGACAACTAGAAATTTGGTGTTTGCCCATTTCGGCATATTTCGGCATGTCATAGTACTCAACATGTTAATTTCGCTTAAACCCAAATTTTGGCACGAAAATCGGCCTCAAAATCCACGGTCGGGAACGGACCGTGTACCTAGTCGTCGTCGTCGTCGTCGTCGTCGTCGTCGTCGTCGTCGTCGTCGTCGTCGTCGTAGTAGTAGTAGTAGTAGCAGATGTAGTAGCAGTAGTAGCAGTAGTAGTAGTAGTACATCCTCCCAGTTTTCCAGGACCAATTGCGCTACGATGCAGTACACAACCTCTAGCTTCTGAAGACGTCCATTCTCTGCTCTTGGCCGAAGCCCGTGTTTCCACACATGCGATTTCTCGGCAACAGGCAAGGGAGCAGAATCATGACTGTTATTGAAGAAAGAAAACCACCCACACCGCAGAGGGAGGGGCGAGGTCTGAGTGCTTTCTGAAAAAAACGACGCTGACAGTTTTGGGAGAGAGAACACCCACCACAGCACAGGGTAGGAAGAAGACATATCTGAAGTTGTTTGGCGTCCTGAAGGCTGCCATCAACATCATCATCATCATCATCATCTTCATCATCATCATCATCGTCATCACCATTATCATGCATGATCATGGTCTTGAATCAGTGCTGGGTTTATCCATCGTTCCTTAAAAAACAAACGTCCCTGTGTGTTGTGTGTTTATCTACGGTAATGTCGCGTTACTCCAAGACTACGTTACCACGGCCACCTTGTCATGTTTCCAGCTGTACGCACACATTGTCACTGAATAGTTGCTCTTTTTATCCACGTCTTCATGCCTGACACACTTGTGAACACTCAAATGCTAGGAACATCCAGGCGAGCAGCGGCTTCCATGTTAGGCTCGTGGCAAGCGATCTCCAAAGACCGAAGGTATTGTAGATCTTCATCGTCAGTAGGGCGTTCCAGATTTCCTGCAACAGCTGATTGTACATTAGATGATATATGAAAAAATCAAAGCCGCTGAAGGAAACGCATGCTAGCGGTTGCAAGTCCAAGTCTACAGCAACCTTAGCTTTTCGGCCGCAGGCGAAAATCTAGTCTGACAGGCTTTGGACCTCGTCTTCGTCCTTCCACCCAAGTGCCTCCCGCTCAGCTTTTGCTGGTGGCGACGAGGCCTGGCTGGACACATCGGCAGCAAGACCTGTGGTGGCTGCAGTGGCCTGCTTAGCAGCCTGCTTGTCTGTACCCGTTTCGGCCAGCCAAGATGCGTCCACCTCCCGCTGCCAGGGTTCCCGGTATGCTAGGCCAAGGAACTCAAAGATGTCCCTCTCACTTGCAAACTGCATTGCTGCAATCGGTGGTCCGGTCCAGATGCGCTCGCCGCGACCATTCCCGCGAGCATGTGCTGCGCGGCAGATGCTGTGATCTGACAGACTGAACCCTGCTCTTCGCGCGTACAACCTCATGGATCTGTTGAACGGTCCAGATCCTGTGAAGGAGAGCAGAGCAAAGGGAAACTCCAGCACCGGATATACCTTGATATCAATTCGGCGGTGCAAGCTGCCAACACGGGCCAACTGACACACTCCAAAGTAAGTGGCGGCCGTAGAGCTCTGCTGTTCCTCTCCGTCGTTCACATCCTGGCCCACATGCCCTCCGGGGCGGCGATGACTTTGATTGCCGCCTTTGAGATCATGGGTGATGAAGCCCTGCCCATGGAGATCAGCAACCAGACTGGATAGCACATCATGCGTCGAGCCAAGGGCAAGCTCGTCTTTGGCACTCCTCGCGCAGAGCAGAAGGTCAACGTCTCCACAGCTTGCTTTGCCTCGACGGAATGAGCCACATGCCTCCATTCGCAAGCGGTTACCAAATCGCCGGGAGACAGCTGCCTGAACGACCTGAATGATTTCATCCACCTCGATGCGAGGGATGCGCTGTGCAAATTCCTCGAAGAATTGCAGGCCGATCCTCAGCTGGCTGGCTCTGGAACAAGACAAAAAAGCGCTTGGGGACTGGCGTTTGCACAGGTTGACAAGCAGGACATGGGGCCTCCTCAACCCACCGCGAGCTGTGTCAGAAATGCCACGAAACCCAAGCATGTCGTGCAGTGGAACTCCACACTGCTGTCATGGCGCGAGCCCCTACGAACCTCATCAGAAACTGAAACATGTGACACATGGCATCATGCATGACCAAAATTCAAAGTTGAACCGGAGCCCTGTGCTCTCTGAAGGCATCTGAAGGCTCAATTGGTCTGCGCTTAGCCGCAAGGTTCCATCCTGCACCTGGCTCCTGACATCTGTGACGGTGCGGCAGCCAGATCCAAGCCAGCGCCTAGCGGTTGTGAGCCCCACACCCCAAATACCCTGCAGCTCAGCCAGTGCTTTTGCATGTTCGTCCATGTGAAGGCCGTCAACCCGGCCAATACTCCCGGTGTTGAGAAACTCCTTCAGCTTGTCACGAGTTTTTTTGCCTAGCCGTCTCAGCTCTGATCGGTCCAGGTCCTCTTCTGAGGTCACCTCAAACGGGAGGCCGCGCAGAATGCTTGCAGTCAGTCGATATGATCGCTCTCGCCACCCATCTCCCAGTGACTCGTAGTGCTGCTGCAGACGGCTGAACATGGAAACCAATTTCTCATTGCGAGATTTTGGGGGAGACGATCCGCTGGTTTTAGGAGGGTCCTGACCTCCACGCTGGCAGGCAAATTTCTCGCGATTGCGAAGAAGGTTGGCGCGTTTTGGGGTCATCTCCCCTCCGAAGACTCGCAGCTTTGGAAGAACTTCCTCCACGTCGGAATCATCTGATTCAGCTTCTGTCCGTGCTGGACTTGCAGTAGCTGATGCCGGTAAAGCAGGAGAGGAGCCTTCAGTTTTCTGCGGCTTGGCTACGGCTGGCCCATCTGCAATAAAATGGCAGTCACGGTCTTCGTGATCCAGCGTTTCAGTTGATGCATCTAGACAACACTTGAATTTCTCCTCTAGTACGCGGCATTGCTTTGCCAAGCAGGCGATGAGCCAGTCGGTGCACAGCCAAGTGGCTTGTAAAGATTTGCTGAGAATGCGGACGCTAGTCACAGGATCGTTGGCAGCAGGTCGTCCTCTTGCTTCAAGAAGCTTCTCAGCCCATGTCCCAAGGCGAACGGGCGTCACTTCTGGCGACAACAGCATGTGGGTGGCTGACCATGGAGAATCTGCTAAGCAGCCGCCGGCTGCCTTGATCTCCCTATCCCAAATCATTCGCCGGGATGCCGTGGCGGAGCCCAGTGGAACAACGAACAGGCGAATCCCATACGCCCAGTCGCGACGCAGTGCCTTGGAAGGTGACGCTTCTTGGCCGCATGACCGTTTGGACACAGCCATGGTTGCTGCATCCTGGACCACGCAGACCCGTGCAAGTCTGCCCCTGGGGATTTTGTTGAGACTTGTCCTGTCCTTGGCTGATTTCTTGCTTTTTTCTGTTCTCAAGCCTACGTCCCGCTAAACCTACAAAGGGCCGTGCTTGCCACGGCCATCTTTCCTTGGGCCATACCGAAAACGTCATCAAGCACGTGACACTTCGCATCAATGCCTCGTTGCTTTCTGAAGTCGAAAGCCAGAAATTCATGTGTTGCATCTGGCTTGGAACATGCAGTGTTCTAAGCCCTCACCTCCTACGCTGAGAAATAACGTTTTGCCGCTCATAAGCACCACGAAACCCTTGAAGGTGAACTGCCCTGCCACCAAGCTTGATGGCAAGACACCCATTAGATCGGCTGGTGAAACAGGAATACAAGTGGAACTGACTCGAAGCCAAGACAAGCCTCGTTACACAATCTTGACACGATGTCATTACAGAATACTTGGTAAAGTTGGCAAGGAAGTCTGCATCTTGTCAGTCCACGAGGAAACGAAACCTCTACCGGCACGGCAAGAAATAATACAAGGACGGTGCCAGAGTGTGTGTCCTCTGGCCAGCCCTGAAGATCAGCAGACTTGCAGCAGAAAAGTCTTCCTGCTCCACACGGCATGTTTCCAATCCGCTTCGGAACAGATGTCATGCTCTCCTCGAGGAATTCAAAATGAATACAAGCCTCCCCATGTTCCGAGTTCCGATGGCAACATGCCGTGCATGTCGGGGCCTGCTGTCAAAACTTTGCGTTCGGAGTCGCACGCAAAAGCTTGCACATTAATTTCCGGGCTTCAACGGTAGCTCATAATTGCGCATTTACTGTACCAGCGGCAGAGCAAGCTCCAGTGATCTCGTGGGAACTGCAAGGAAACACAAACAACAAAGCAACCGCCGAAGGCCAAATGCAAGTCAACACACTTAGCGTTGGCCACTTGCTCACTCACTGCCTCATTCAAAACAAACTTTGCCGTCAGTTTCTCATCGTGGCATGTAGCCAAAAAATGTGAGCTTCATCAGCCAGGGTGGGTCACCCATGCTCTCAAGGACTGGCTTCAGGGATGGGCTTCGCTAATACGGTGTCGATTTCGAGAAGACCTCGCTGAAGTTCTTCTAACGCACGGTCCACCGCATCCAACGAAGGGGCAGCCTTGACAACAGCAGCTTCTGCATCCAAGGCATGCGCATACACCCAGTGGCTGTCGAGTGGCAGAGGCGTCCGCAGACGTCTCCTGGTGGGTACCCTCACGCAAAGCTCTGTGCGTCTCCTGCCGCAGGTTCAACCGCAAGTTTCACAGGCAGGATGATTGTGGCGGGAGCCCACAAGCTCTCCTCCACCAAGTGCTCCAGCTGCCGGGTTGCAGTGTCCAGGTCCAGGGCATCTGCAGAAGAAACCTCAGCTGCATTGCCTCAACTACTAGGGTCTAAACAGCAGTTCGGTCTGGCTCCTTCGATGCAGTGGCTTTTGGCATCAACCAATCCTGGCAACTGGTCGCTTGAAGCCGCAATGGCGGCAGAAGATGGAATCCTCTGTGTAGGAACTTCCGCATTTTGGACAGTGATCCATCCGGCCTCAGTTCACAGCCATGAATCCGGTGCTCAGGCACATCAAACGTAAAATACAGAGATGCCCCTAATCACGTCGGCCTGGGCTCTCGCTGGGACCATAAATGATCTCACCAGGTGAAGTTCCGTCAGCATCCCGTCTCTCAGGCTGGAGTCGGGTGCCCATGTCTGCCTGCAGGCAGAAGGCACTGTGAGCACTACTTCGCTGCATTGCCGGTTTGAAACGTGCTGCACCTGGTGCGTGGGGTCCGGCGACCGATTGCCCGCTGCTTGAAGCGTAGGGACATGGATCCGGGGGGGTGGCGCAAAGCTGCTGCTAGTGAACGGCACTGCGCTCTGCGTAATTGGCTCCACTCCGCGTGTCACTGGCTCCCAGAGCCGTGGGCTCTCCTCGCAAGCAGATGGCAGACTTCAAAACTGCAATCCAAACAGAGTTGCCTACGTCAACAATCAAACAAACCCTTGACGTTGTACATTTTACATGTTCTAATTCACAGCTCAGCTTGCAGACGCTCCTGGTAACCAAACCTGGGAGCACCAGTGTCTGCAAAGGGCTCCGACCTTGCACCTTCTGCGGGCCTGGCACTCACCGTCCGACGCCTCCGCGTCTCATGGCTTTCTTGGGGACGGTAGAGCTCTGCCAGCAAGTTCCGCGGAGCCCTGCGCCCCCCTCGCATGCCTCGCACGTCAGAGCCGTCGCTTTGCAAGCGACTTTCTGCAGATGTCCGGGTAGGCGTCCTGAGCAAACAGGCTGACAGCAACTTTGAGACATCAAGTCCACATTGATGAGCTTTCCTCTTGATCACATCATATCCAAACACAGCCGAGGCTCACTTTCGCGCTGTGCGGTGGCCTCGGACCAGAGAGCCGGCTTGCCGATGCTGCCCTCCTCCTTTTAGCGTGGCCGAAGATCAAGTTGACGCTTCAAGGCGAAAGAAAAGGGTTGCAAATGAAACCCAAAATAGCAAAACATGCAGCCGGTTTTTTTCTTTGCGAAAACGCACATGGAAACACTGGCGCATGCTTTTGACAATTCCAAAGGCAAAGCGTCCTGGTCCGTGCCTCCACACTGAGCTGCGGCGCAGTGTTAATCGTGGGAGCTCGTACAGCACTGCGTGCACGCGGCGGTCGCGGGCTTGGCGTCTTATCCTCGGCTCTTCTTCTTGGAGCCCTCACAAATCCCAAGCCTCCAAGCCTTCGGATCTATGCTTCTTAGACTTGGACATAAACCAAGTGTATTTCATCATATTTCCTTGGTGTCTCTGCGAGGATCTTCAAGGCCGCTCTGCCCTCGGCGCCGGACTCTTGGACGTCCTGGCTGCGGCTTCCCCGGGTCTGAAAGCCGCTTTGCCTCCTGTGACTTTAGAGCGGGTGCTTTGCCCGACTTCATCTTCGCTGCAAGAGCTGTGAGGGGCTCCTCCCAGTCCCGCCGAGGTTTGGATTTGATTTGAGAGCTCTCACGGCTGGAATCTGGCCGGCAGTCATTGAAATTCGGGGCCGCCAGCTCTACACTGGACTTGGAGCGAGCCTTTAGGCCAACCTTCTCCTTGGACTTTGACCGCTGCCGAGCTGCACACTTCTTGCAACAGTTGCAGTAGGGGCAACGACCTAAGCGAGTTCCTCGAGAAGTGCCCATCTCCAAGGACAGGCGCTCCAGCATGGATATCAGGTGCTCCTCATCCGGGATCCCTTGGCAAACAGTCGTGTCTTCTGATCTGACTCATGCAGCCAAGCAGCGCAAGCTACCTGAAATTAGGGATTGCTGTCCAAGAAACGCTGCTTAGGCTTCTTGCTCTTCCGCCGCGCAGGCCGCTCTTCTTTATCCAGTTGGGGCATGCCCAATGCGGAAGACGACTCCTTTGCCGCCATTCTTTTCGACTTCGGAACGACACCAGGCATCATGGCGGATGGCTTCCGGGCTTACATCCCACAATGTGGGGTCATGCGCTTGGATGGAGGCGTCTACCGAGTCTACCGAGGCAGGTGATGATGAGAACCATGAAGTCGTCTGGCTTTGACGTTCTACCCCACGGTCATGATTACATGCACTGTCGTCACGCATGAGAACAGCTGCAAGCGACACCGCTATGGCAGCAAAGCGGAAGAAGGAACAAGCTCCCAAGTGAGGCCCGCCTTGCGAGCCACCTCTCTTGGCTGGATCTGACCATCCTCACCTGGGCTTCAGACAAAGCCACGGAAAGGCATTAGGCCCATTAGGCTGTCGCAGAATAGGTGGCGCATGTTTCCTGACTCTTGTCCGAGCTCACCACCGCCAAGAGTAAAGAAGAAGCGACGTTCTCGCACGAACATGCTAAGCTGCACCTCAGGTTTGTTCACAAGGTCAACATCAACTCCAAGCCCTTGGGGCTCATGAGTCTGCACAAGATTTGTTCAAAGAGCCTGAGCATGGGTCCGCAATAAAATCGTGTGGGCAACTGACACTGCTCGAACGGACTATGGAAAAGAATCAAGGAAACCCCTACGTTCCTAATAAACGTGCCGCACGGGGCAGGATGATTGAAACCGTCCAAGAAACTAGCGGCAAGTTGCGCCACAAAAGTAGCTCTCTAATTAACACCTGCCAGCCTGCCATCCCGTAAAAGGGTGCCCAGTCCACGCGCCAAAAGGCAGAAGATGATCTGATTATAGCGTTGCAGCTGACATCTCTCCCTGATTTCCATCCTGACCGGACCCTCCAACACAGATCAAAAAATTGTAGGCATGTCAACCCCGATTGTCCTACAACCTGTCAAAGCTGCAGAAGCTCCACGAAGTTTGGGTGAGTCTGGGAGTCTGGATTGCGCCGGAATCCGGACAATGCCCAGGATCTGTTTCTGGCCAGCCTTTGGCTTGATAGCAAAAATCCCAGCCACATTGAACCTTGAGCCTTGAGCTTCCTCTGACTCCAATTCTGGGTCCGGAGGCTGCTTGGGTAGGAGGCCTTCAATAATGCAGTACTGAACCCACGTGCAGCAGAGCTGTTTCATACAAAGTGAATAAGAACTCAGACCTGCAGGATAGCCAAACCTTGAGTTCGCCATTCAAATCCCTTTCCCAAAGACTAGCTGCTGAGTCGGACAACGCAATAGAACACACGGCATTCCCTCAATCTCTCCACCACTGTGCCCGTGGAGATCTAGCCAAACTGCTCGGACCCTTGCAATGCCGCAGACAGCAAAGCAACCTGCAAATCCAAATCCATCTGAATGACAGGCCAGCCAATGGATGGTGACGCTGCATGCTTCAGCGGTTGCTTCTTCTTCTTCGTGGAAATCCATGTCCAAACATCTTTGTCTCAAGGTGTTGGTTGTCCAACAGACCTGGCATCAAGCCTGGGCTCTTTGCCCATACGTCTGGGACGTACAACCATCACCACTGCCACCGCTAGCAGCACCAGCAGGTGCAGCAG